ATCGAACTCATGCGGAAGTAGCTTAAGCTTCTTTGTGCTGTGCTTTAACCAGCTGCGCCACCAGGGAGGGCCCAGAAAACTTGAGTTTTAATTCATTCTCCTTCCTTTTGTGACCTTGGAAACATCACTTGCTTTCTTTAGGTCTGTCTTGTCAGTACAGCAAAGTGACTAATTTAAATCAGGGATTCAGAAATGCTGACTTAAGCCTGTGGATGGTGCTTGTGAACTATAGGATTATATGTAAAATGCTAATTGTTATGTGGACATTTTTCTGAGGGAAAGAGCATTAAATTTTCATTTGATTCAGAAAGAGGCTTGTGACAAAGATTAAGGACTATTTGGCTACCAGTCTTAAACTCTCACATTCTATTCAATCATCTATAAGGGCTCTGGAAACAAAAGTTTAGCTCATGAGGTATACTAGGGCAAGATAATGCCCTTGCTTTCTCCCAGATCGCATCAGGTTTTATTTTCACCATGACCTGAGGTAACTTGTTCTGGTGGGCGGATGTGAATCAAAGCATCCCAACAGTGTCAGAAGGGAGTTAAGAGTCACTCCAACCTCAGGCTCACAAGCCCTGAGGACAAACTGGCACCAGCATCCTAAAGGCCAATGCAAAGAGATGCTTTGATTCTGTGACCACCCTGCCTACTCACTTTATGAAGTGCTCCTTCCCCTAAATCCTATATATCTTCCCACTGGCCTGAAATCCGTCTGTCCCGTAGGGATTCATTGCTTTGGTTTTGCAACGTCTGAACATCCTGTGCAACCCAACTCCTTTGGGAAGAGACAAGACAGCCTGACTCGAATTAACTAAAACTTGTAAGTGGCCGGTGGGCCAGCAGGTAAAGGGCTGGAAGGGCATGTGGGAGGGATCAAGGTGCGAATGGCCAGACTGGGATCAACCTCAAGGACACAGGAGTCCAAAGCGCAGTTTAGGCGCTGTGCCTGCACACTTACATCACCTCTTCCGGGGAACAGAGCCAGAGCCAGGGCTCAAATTCCACCCGAAGGCGGAGGCGCGGAGATGGGGGCGCTATACTTCCAGATATTACACCTGTTCTAGGTCTGGGACCTGCGCCGGCTGGGCGCGCCTGGGCGTTAGCGCTCTGGGCCACGGTGCGGTCAGGTGCAAGCGCCACGCCGCTACCGGGTCTCCGCGTGCAGAAACAAACCCCAGCTCCGGGGCTTCTTTACCAAGGCGAGGTCTTCCAGCCCTTTCTGCCGCGCAAGGTCGCGCTACAAGCCCTGGCTCCTCCGCCACAACCACGGCAGAAGCGCCAAGGTCTACTCAAGTGCCCTCCCAGATCCTTCCGTCCCCCTCCACCCTTCCCCTCCTTTAGCAAGATGGCGGCGAGCGCACTTCCGGTGTGTGTCCTTAACGGTGCGTCCGGGTGGCTGCTGCAGGTGTCACTTAGTGGGTTCCAGCCTTGTTGCTGCGAGGGACTACGCGGGTGATGGCGGGCAAGCGGCTTGGCTGGGGCCGGGCGGCTCTGCTCCAGCTCCTTCTTGGCATGAACTTGATGGTGACGCCACCGACACAGGCCCGGAGCCTGCGCTTCGTTACCTTGGTATGCGGGATGGGGTCTCCAAAGGGGTCCCCAGGGCTGTTAGAGCCCAGGCCTGCGGTGGAGGGAAGGGCGGGGCTTGTGCTGGGGTCGGGGGTCCGGAGCAGGAGATGCTTAGGCGACCTCCCGCCCAGGGCGATGGAGGCCGGGACCCAGGATTGCTGCAGAGGCTTGGGTGTTGGCGGTGGGGGAGGAGGTGCAAGGGTGTCAGGAGTTCTGTGTCAGCGCACAGGTCGGATGAGTCTGCCCTGGGATAGGGATATTGCATGATTTAGAGATTCGCTCCTAAAGAAGCCGTTAGTGAGCCTTTTTTCCAGCTCCCATTCCCACCGCACACTGTATTTCTTGTTCTTTGCTTTCCTTTTCCGCACGACCTTTGGCTCTGTCTCCAGAGGCATTGCCTCACCAAGTTAGAATCCCTGGAACCTGGAAGGAATTACTGACTTCTGAGTTGGGATCTCTTGCAGTGGGTATTGTTACGGTTCTGCAGAGAGAACGTGAGGCTTCCCTCCCCATCATGGGACAAAGATGGGCCCGGCGTCACCGTCAAGGACGCCCCTCTGACCTGTGGGCAACCCTTTTTCTTTCCTCAGCTCTACCGACATGGAGACCGGTCTCCAGTGAAGACATATCCCAAGGACCCCTATCAGGAGGACGAATGGCCCCAGGGCTTTGGTCAGCTAACCAAGGTGTGTCAGAAGCCAGCCCTTAAGATAGACAGGGGTGAGCTTGGACAGCAACAGTGCCAAGTTTGGGATGTGTGGGATGTGTGGCTACAGCATATGGCCCCACTGAATTGTCATTTCCCACATGGGTGCTGACTTAGACCAGATATATTTTTTATAAAGATTTATTTATTTATGCATACAGAACTGGGGTGCAGGCCAAAGGTACAAGGACAGTGAGAGGATTCACCAGAGTCAGAGTGGGGAGCAGAACAGGTAGCTGTACTGAAATACATTGCTGAGGGGAGCAGCCGGTGGGTCAGGAGAGGTCTGCCGCGCCGTGTGGGTCACCTCCGGGGCTGGGGCTCAAACCCACACCAAAGTGGCTGTGGCCAGCTTGCAGTGCTGTGCTTTAACCCGCTGCGCCACCTGGGAGGGCCTCGACCGGATTTCTTAGCCTTACTTTCCTCTGTGCCCAGGACAGTGCCAAACACAGTCCGGCAGTTAATGGCTGCGGGGGTGGGATTAACCCACTCCTGCTTCTAGACAGGGGTGACCTTGGACAGCAACAGTGTCAAACCTTGTGGGACTTGGCAGTCACCCCTTCCCTCTGGACCTCTTTAACCCTTGAGTTTGCTCACAGGAGGGGATGCACCAGCACTGGGAGCTGGGTCAAGCTCTGAGGCAACGTTACCACGGCTTTCTCAACTCCTCTTACCACCGACAAGAGGTGAGGCTGGGTGCTCCAGGGGCAAGGGGAACGGGTCTCTGTGCTCAGAGAGCCCGAGGGCAAGTCTAGCGCTCTGACCTTCCTCCTGCTCTTACAGCTATAGGACAGGACATGCAAGAGCTGTCTGGAACACAGCCCTGAGGCTAAGTTGCCTGGGAACGGGCAAAAGGTACCAGACTTCAGGACTTGGCAGAGTCGCTCTGACTCTGAAGTAGCTCATGCTTCCCATTCAAGATGCGTAGGGCCCAGCGCTGTGCTGGCACTTTATGTAGTGGGCACCACCCAGGTAGTTTTATCTCTGTGGGGCTTCGAGTGTCGTGATGGGAAGCCACACGCACAGGGCAGGGCAGGTAGAGGGGCACGTCAGGGAGAGTGGAGAGTGTGCTGGCTGCCCTGGGGCCTCTTCCCCACTGCAGCGGTGGGGATAACTGTTCTCTGGTGACCACTGTCCAGCCGCGGCTATCTCCAGTTGCTGGGTGTATTGTTCCCTTGCTTGCCAGCTCTATCCTAATCTTCCCCACAGTTTCCTCTTTTTCCACAAGTCATTATCTCTGATCCTATCTGTTCCCCTCTCTCCGGTCTCTCAGCCAGTTTATCAGTGTAGCTGACAGTTTTTGCCCTCAAGCACCATGTCTGGATAGGGAGATACATGTTATAAAGCCAAACCAGGGAGCCTTTAGACTAGGCCCTTTGGATTGGGGGTGCTATCTGAATCAGGGTCGCCCCCCACCACTCCCCCTGTGGGGACAGCTGGCCCCTTGTGGGGTGCTACGGGCCTTTGCTGGGAAGAGGGATGGGGAAGGCCAGATTGGGGGACAAGGGCTAGGTACACGATGGCTTTACCGTTTGCTTGGTGACCATCGCCAATAGGTAGGTTACTGCCCTGGGGCCCGCTGAGGGGCCAGAGCTCCCCAGCCCCCTCGTGCTGGCCACACGCTTGCTGCCACCCCCACAGGTGTATGTGCGGAGCACAGACTTTGACCGGACGCTCATGAGCGCCGAGGCCAACCTGGCTGGACTCTTCCCTCCCAGCGGAATGCAGCGCTTCAACCCAAACATCTCTTGGCAGCCCATCCCCGTCCACACTGTGCCCATCACGGAGGACAGGGTGAGACTGGCCGGTCCTGGGCTGGAGGTGAGAGGAACAGCCCTGGCCACGGACCTGTGACCCGACTCCCCTCTGCCTCTGCCTCCCCGCGTCGGTCTGCAGCTGCTGAAGTTCCCACTGGGCCCGTGCCCGCGTTATGAACAGCTGCAGAATGAGACCCGGCAGACGCCAGAGTATCAGAATGAGAGTATTCGGAACGCAGTGAGTGGGGCTAAGGTCAGGGTCATCACTCGTCCTTTCCCCCCACCTGGGGCGGGACTGACGCCCTGATCGCTTCTCATAGCACTTTCTGGAGATGGTGACCAACGAGACAGGCCTTCCAGACCTGACGCTGGAGACTGTCTGGAATGTCTATGACACGCTCTTCTGTGAGGTGAGCCCATTTAGTGTCCACAGTGTGACCGCTCCTCCCTCACCTCAGCAGGTGACCAGGATGAGTAAGACGCAGGGCCTGGAGACCACCCCGGGGGGCGGGGGGGCCAGGCCCGGCCTCTTATGAAACCAGGGAACTTCCCTCACGGGTGAAAGAGGACTCAGAGTGGGAAATGGTTTGTTCATTGTCAGCAGTTCCTGCTGCTTCCCCCGGAGCTCTCGTGGCGTCCAGCTCCATTCTGCTGCATCATGCTTTTGATGCCTGCTGTCCTGTGTCCTTCCTCCTGGCTGTCCTGTGCGCCATGTCTCTTGGTCTGGTCCCTTGGGCTTCCCGGTTCTCTTTCTCCCCCTCCTGCACGCACCACACACACGCACGCACCACACGCACGCACACCCAGGCACCCTCCTGCCCGGGATGAGCACTGCCCGGGGAGAGGCTCCGGCGTAGGCCTGGGATTTAACCTGCCTGCTGTACACAGCAAACACATGGGCTGGTCCTGCCACCCTGGGCCTCACCCCAGACCATGCAGCGTCTGAGCCAGCTAAAGGACTTCAGCTTCCGCTTCCTCTTCGGGATCTACGAGCAGGCAGAGAAGGCCCGACTTCAGGGCGGTGAGTGACAAAGCCAGTCTGTCACTCCCCTCCTCGGGGCCCTCCAGCATCACAGATCTGCTCTTGGGGGCTCCTTGCGTACTTCCTCCACAGAATGCTCTCTGTTCTTCAGAGCCAGGTCCCCCTATTCATCCCATTAGCTCCCCAGCCTCCCCACTCCCAGAACACAGCACAGTGGTTGCTGTACGAGGGACTGGTCAGGTTTGCGTGCTGCTTTTCTGCCACTTGTAAGATCCACCCTGGCCAGAAGACTGTCACCCCAATAAACATTCACCCCTAGAGAACCACTGGGGCCTGATCCGAAGGAAGGCTGAGTAGAATACATGCCAGTCCCGAGCAAACACCCAGGGGGAGCCGTGTCGACCTTCAGGACACCCTCGGTAGAGCGCCCTGGGGTGCCCACTGTCTGGTGTGTTCTCAGGCTTCCCGTACTGTTCTTACGAGTCTGATGCGGGCGGGCTCGACGGCTCATTGTAAATGGGCAGGTTTCTACGTCTGCGTCGACATAGAATGGTGCCCTGTTTGGGCTCGCTCTGTCCATCTGAAATGTCTTAGTGGGCAGGGAGCTGTCAAGTTCAGGCAGCTGCATGGGACTCATCCCCAGAACCAGCAGAGGGTGACAAGCCTGTGGTCAGAAGACAGGGACGGCTGTCGCCACTCATTCCGGGGACTTTCCTCCTCCAGGAGTCCTGCTGGCTCAGATACGGAAGAACCTGACCCTGATGGCCACCTCTGCCCAACTCCCCAAGCTGCTGGTTTACTCTGCGGTAAGCTGCCCGGGACCCAACGTGCTGACGTGCGGGGAGCCCCCTCTCCTGTCAGTGCCAGGGCGGGGCAGAGCAGTGCTGAGGGGGGCCCCTTCTCCCTCACAGCACGACACCACCCTGGTCGCTCTGCAAATGGCGCTGAATATTTACAACGGCAAACAAGCCCCCTATGCGTCCTGCCAGATGTTTGAACTCTACCAGGAGGACACCGGGTGAGTGGTGCTCCAGCCGTCTGCCCTCAGGAGGGAGCTGGCGCGGTGGCTGCGGCGCGAGGCTCTGGGTTACGGGCCTGGTGAGCCGCCCCATCGTGCCGTCTTGCTCCCATCCTCCTCAGGAATTTCTCCGTGGAAATGTACTTTCGGAATGAGAGTGACAAGGCCCCCTGGCCACTCACCCTGCCGGGCTGCCCTCACCGCTGCCCACTGCAGGACTTCCTCCGCCTGACAGAGCCCCTTGTGCCCAAGGATTGGCAGCACGAGTGCCAGCTGGCCACTGGCCCTGCAGACACAGGTGAGCTGCCGCCTGCCTCTGTGCTTGGCAAGTTCCGGCTGTTTCAGGCACACGCGCAGGTCGTGAGAGAGCTGGCTCGCCTCCAGCCACCTCGCAGCATGTCCCTGGACAGTTCCGTTTCCACCTGGAGACCATTTCACACGTCCTCCCTACGCCTCCTCCCATCCCCTCAGGGGATCTCTGCCTCCTGGTACCGCTGAGGTAATACCAGCAAGCAGGCCAGAGCCGCCTCCTCCCACCGCCAGGCCTTCCAGCTTCGGGCCTGAGCCATTACTGAAGGCCAGCGTTCTGGGTAGATTCTAGGTCCACCTCATCTCACCACCGCAAGGACCCCTGGCATCTCAGTCCCATCTCAAGCGCCCAGTACATTTTCAGCTACCACCTTCCTCCAGCTTCCTCTTCGTTTCTCTGTCCCATTGCGAATGGAATCCTTCCAAGTCACAGAGATGCTGCTTGGCTTCCGGGCTGCCCATTCAGACTCTCACTATCCTGCTCTGGTCACCCACTTCCTTGAAGCCACTCTTGTCCGGGTCCCATGACCAGCCCTTGGCAGCATGACATAACTGGCCGCTCCCCGCTGGAAGGCTTTCTTGGCGCCTGTGGTTTCTCTCTTAATTTATAGGCAACTCTCTTACTGGCTTTTCCTTCCCCCCAAACAGTGGCTGCCCCAGGCCGCCTCCTCATGCCCTCTCAGGATTTCTTATCCCCCTCTGCTGAGCAGAGGCTCGTGGAGTCACTGCCTCTTGTCTGAACCGCAGCCTCACACGTGTAGCTGCCGACTTGCCGGCTGGGATAGTGTGTCTGCAGCCAAGTGCTTGTGCCCCCACATCAACCTTCCTCCAGCCTTCTCTGTCTTCGAAACACTGGGGCACTGCACAGGCTGCACAGTGTAACTAACCCTAGGAGTTGTCTGCATGCCCTTTTTATTTTAATATTTTATTTTTACATGATTTGTGCCTTTTCCCACCTCAGTTGGAATCCCCGGGGGCTTCCCATCACCAATTCACCTGTGTGCCATCACCATAGTCCCGTGCACTCCCCCTGCCACTCCCCACTCTACCCCCGTAAAATGTCTGTGGTATATAGTTGTTCTTTATTATTATTATTTTCCCCCCTGGTCCTTTATGTTCCTGCTATGAGTGAAACCATCCATGTTGCTCCATCCATGTTGCTGCAAAAGGCCATGCCCTTTCTCCTAACCCCCACCCAGCCCGCCCGTAGGTGCTGACATCCCGGCATCTGTGCCTGAGCCACTCAGAAGCTTCTCATGTTCTTCCTGACTCTCTTCATACAGTCTCCCAGCATAGCAGCTAGGCGAGTAAATCACTTCACACCACCAGCCTTCCCAGAATCTTCGTCACAGCCCTCACCTTTGGAGTGAATTCCAAGTTCTTCCCCAAGGAACCCCGGGCCCTCCTTGGTCGCGTCCTGTCCCCCATCCGCTGCCCTCACTTACTCCGTCGAGACTGACTTTCTGCGAATCTTAAGAGCGTGCCAGGCTTCCCACAGGACGGTCTTTGCATTTGCTTCCTCTCCCCTCATCCCCAGCGACAAGGACATTTCACTGAGCTCTTGCTAGGTCTCACTCAGCGACCCCAGGCCTTTGTTCAGACGATCACTTCCTTGCTGAGGCCTTCCCTGACTGACCGGCCTCTCTGTTGGTCTGTTTTACTTTGTAGCATTTGTCACTAACATACCCTTCCTCTCGTTTGCTCTTTCTACTGGCTCGCGCCCCTAGAATTGAATCCACAAGGGCAGAGGCCGACCCTGGCACCTGTGTGTGTCCCCATTTTAGCCCAGCACCTGGCATGTGGTCGGCACTCAGATGTTCATTGAATGGACACTGACATGACCTTTCTCTCTCCCGCCCCTCTCTGTGCCCAGAGGTGATCGTGGCCTTGGCCGTCTGTGGTTCCATCCTCTTCCTGCTCATAGTGCTGCTCCTCACCGTCCTCTTCCGGATGCAGGCCCAGCCTCCTGGCTACCGCCACGTCGCAGATGGGGAGGACCATGCCTGACAGCCACTCAGCCCCCTTCCCTCTGCCTCCTAGGGGAGGTGGGCTGGGCCCTTGCTTCTGACTGTTGCTGCTCCCCAGCCTGGGACAGGAGCCCCTGGGTTGGGGCTTCCTTTGATGACGTACATGAACACGTGGGGCTCAGCGTGGCCTCCGGCACCTGCCCACTCGGCGCTCTCGTGCCTGACGTTTACCAAGCCCTGTGCTGGCCCCTGGTTTTCCCTAAACAGGATCTGCCTCCACCATGCTCCTATGGACTAGAAATGTAGACAAGGATTCAGGTTTCACTGTAGACCTGCGCTGAAAAAGGCTGGAGGCGTCGGGGCTTGGTCCGCCATGCCCCCACCAAACCCTGCTCCTGCTCTTCCAGCCTGGAGTCTTGGCAAATGGCTCAGAGGACAGCCTTGCCGCTCAGTGCTTATTTCAGCAGGAAAAGCTGCACAACATTGGGGGTACAAGCGTTGGCCACCAAGAGACCAATCACCCAGCAGCTAGCTGGACAAGTGTTTCTGTGTGGCAGAGGCCACCACTCATCAGACCTGAGGCTCTGGCGTCAGTCAGCCCCACAGCTGGAGCAGCTGGGATGGGGGCTTGTACTGGGGGGGCGTGGGGAGGGGCCAGTGATTGTGGTCTGGAGTCAAGAAACTGCTATCCCCCAGCTGGGCTGGGGTCTCCAGGAAGCTAGACCACTCTGACCATGGACTAGGAACGGGCTGAGGCAGCTTCTAGAGAATGAAAGTTTGGGACTCTTAGTGCTGTTTCTGTGCCTTTTCTTCATTTTGGGGCCCCAGGGAGCCACCTGGCTGGTCACTGCTGGAAAATCCACTCAGAAGCTTAGTTGGGTTTGTTTTTTTTAATTGGCCATGTCCACAGTGAGCACACATCGACCACTCCCGGATCACCCTGCCGCTGCATGTCAGAGGAGAGGGGTACTTGACTCCGGCTCCCAGCTAGATAAGGCGGGGACCCGGGGCAGCTGGGTCTCCCACCCGAGAGGTGTCCGGAGCTGGGCTCAGAGCAGTGCCATGTCCCGGTCCCAGGTGTCCCACGCCAGTGTCCCTGCTCCAGCCCTCCACTCGGGTCCTTCTGGCCCTGTGACAAACAGCCGTCTCCTCTCACAGGACTTATTCTCTTGTGGCTCCAAGCCCGGGCTTGGCCCGCACCTTCATTAATGCCGCTCATCCCCAAATCCCAGCTTCCTCACGGCTCCAAATGAGAATGTGGTAACCTAGGAGAAGTGAGACCAGTCTGACTCGCATCTTCCATTATCACTCTGACAGCATGGGGCTGGCCCAGGACTTGGTGAGGAAATACCAGGAAACTGGACAGCAGCCAGCACTGCCAAGACCAGGAGAAAGCAAAGCAGTAGAGGGCTTAGGCCAAAGGACCACGGTCACCTGTTTAAAGTGTCACCCTGGGCTGCACGTGGCAAGGCTGGCTGAGGTTAGCCTGCACTGGACCTCGGGAAAGAGGGACAGGCTTGGCCAGTCAGAGACAGCCAGCATCACTCACCCATCGCAGAGGCCAGTGTGTCCCCCACAGGACTGAACTCATTAAGCTGCAAAGGCAAGGGGGCGAGCATAAGGAGGGGGAGGGAGTCGCAGAGACAGATGGGCACATTTCTGGTCAATAAAGTAGGCTGGATCCCTGTTTCCTCCCATCATTATTCACGGGCCCAAGCCTCACCGAAATGATACCAGAAGATTCTGGGTCATAGAGTTGATACATCATCTTCCCAGAGCTTCCATCAAACACATCAATCGTCCTTAATTCATAGGGGGTACAACTTCTGAAATTAGGATCTGGGTATCGGCCCACAACAATGAGGTTGTACCGGGGGTGCCACGTTGCCTAGGAGATGGACAGGTCAGTCACCAGAGTAAATGCAGTCACTGTGGAGAGGCGGCGAGGTTACCCTTTGCCACCAGCGGTTGTTAATACAATCACCAGCGTTCAGTAATGGAGGCAAGATCAAGTGACTCTTAAGAACGGTTTGCAGTTGCCCATTTTGAACCCCAAGTGGCCTGTCTGGACCTTAGGACACTTTCAGGTCTTCTCTCTTTTGTCTTCCCTGGGGTCAGTGAAACCCACTGATTCATGGTTTCACATCAGCCCGACCCAGAAATTAACCGAAGAGGTATGCCTACAGCAAAGCAAGGAATCCCTGGGAACAGGCCAACGAGAGATGTCCGTTCCGAAGTAAGCCGCTGCGACCCTCCTCCGTGCTCACGAGTGACGAAGAGTTGCGTATAAAATGGATAATGGCCCAAAACTTGGGGGCAAGTGTATTCCTCATGACCCCACTTGAAACAATCTGGCTAATCCGGGGTTTTTCCAGGAAAGTGCTAAGAAGCTTTGAAGGAGGAAAGACGACATTAGCAGCGAGGAGGAAGTGGCATCTGGTGGTTTGGAACTCAGTACCAGTCACACCTGGAGCTGCTGGTTGGCCTGGCTGCATACACAGTGGACACAAGCCCGGGTGACAGGGCTGGAATGTGGTTGCGGGAGCGTGGCCCCTTCGTCACTGCCCACTGTGTGCTGCCCCAGCGTGGAGTTTACCTGCCAGATACTGTTACTCCCTCACTGCAGGCGAGGGAGCTGAGATCACAGTTCAGAGGACTGAACCCCTCCACACCGGTGTCCGCCCCGACACTGACCAGAGCAGCATTGGGAGTACCTGGAGGTCTGCAGAAGGGCCGTGGTTCTGGAAAAGAACGTGGGTAGGGCCACAGAGGTGGCAGGGTAGCTGGGCGTGGGCAGGAAGGAATCACCAGACCTGAACACCATAAGCCACGGGAAGCGAAGACAGAAGGCGCTAGGGAGAATCTGAGAAAAGTCGGGGGAGCAGACCTATTTCTTTTACTGGAAGCCACCTAAGCCTGCACGGTGGAACTAGGAAGGCGAAGTTCGTTTCTGGAAAACTGCACAGGGAGCAGGAGCGGGATCTGAGCAGCTGCCCTCACCTGACATCAGGACTGGGCTAAAAAAATAGCTCAGGAAAATAGTTTCTCAGAGAGACACACAAAGACCCAACAGAATGGGACTGCAGGGGTGGGTCAAGGAGCAGAGAGCCCCAGGGGAGAAGACTGGTTTGTGTGGGCCAGGAAGGGACCTAGGATTTGGGCGTCCCCACTGCCGTCTCCCCACTCAGGCAAACCTTGATAGTCCAACCCATAGTCACTGCTCCCCCCCACTCACCTTGATGGGTGTCAGGTGCTGGAACTGGCGGTGGGGGTGCGGGATCAAGCTTAGGGGGTGGTCCCACTGGGAGGCAGAGTAAACCCGGATCTCACTCTTCTGATCCGTGGTCAGGAGCCGGGTGCCATCGGGACTGAAATAAGCTGCAAAAGGGAAAAATAAGCTGAACTGAAGCAATCTCCAGCCCCCCATTGTCCTGGCTTTCACAGGCCTTCTCTTGCAGGGGCACCCCTCCACACAGGGATGGAAGGGAGTTGCTGAATGGCTGTGGAAAAAAAAAAACAGTCTAAACACTCAGCAGCCTTGGGGGTGGCCAGGACAGGCCCCCGAGCGCCTGTCAGCCCAGCCGGTGCTCTCCAGAGAAAAGGTTTGACCAGGTAGCAGCTAAACGTTGGGGGAAACCCCCACGTGGTGAGCGGGCCAGGTGGGCAGGAAGGGCGCCGTCTGCCATGGCATACCTGAGTTGACACCCTGCGTGTGCTGCAGCGAGGAGAGGAAGCTGGACTTCCCTCTGACCTGGCGCAGGTCCCAGATCTTTACCGTTTGATCCACAGAGGCTGTGGCCAGGATCCAGTCACAGCATGGATTCAGGGCTACGTGCGTCACTTTCTTTTTGTGCATTTTCAGATTCCAAAGCTGCAGGAGGAGCTCGGTTCAGGCGGGGGCACAGACTGAGACTGGGGGAAGGAGGGAGAGGGAGGGCCTGGCCCAGAGGACGCACCTCCTTGCCATCCATGTTCAGCAGGACCACGTGCCCCACACTGTCTCCTGTGACCACCACTCGGCTTTTGGCAGACACATCCAGGCTGCAGAACCAGAGGCTGGAGGGAGAGACCTTGCTGTAAGCTTCTCGGGGACAGGCAAGGTGCATTTTTTCCACTATGGCAGCTCCAGTCTAACGCGTAGTATTCAATGCTTATTTTGTACAAACAATAGAAAGGTTGATCAACAGTGGCAGGTCACTCCCGGGGGGCCACGTGGTCACCCCGACCTCACCCAGGGCCCAGCACCAGATGCAGCACAGCTTCCAAGGCCCTTGCTGTGCAGCAGCCAGTCCTGCCCAGCACCTCAGTGGCCCTCGCCAGCTTCATGGGCTGCCCCCGGCTCACGTCCATGATGGCAGAGTCCCCATAAATACTGACTGAACCAGTGAGTAATGCCTTGCCAAGGAGTTTTAGCAGCGAGGAGCACTCAGACAGAAGGCAGGGAGCTCCGAAGTTCGTCCAGTTACTGCCGGGCCCAAGATCCTTAGCTAGGAAAAGCTCCCGAAGCGCAGAACATCAGGCACGTTCCCGGTGAGCCTGCCGCCTACAGGCCCGGCTGCTCAGAGGCTTGGTCGTTGCTATCCCTGCAAGCCACCCTTTGGGTCAGAAAAGGTGACAGGCCACACAGGCATCACCCAGCTCTGCTCCTCAGAGTTGGCTAGAAAGGAACTTCTGCCCTCTTCTGAGCAACTTGGGGAAAAAGCACACACAGAAAGGACAGAAAGCTCTTGTCCCTCCAACCACTTGGGGACAAGGTGGAAAGGGGTTGGGGGCTCCTGGTCCCCAGCAGCGTGGCTCAGATTCACATTTCTTTTCTCCCAGATGTACCCTTCTCTGTGCCTGTGGCATCCCCCGTGAAGATCTGTAAGAGCGAAGGTTTCCTGCGGAAGAGTAACCTGGAGCTGAGCTGGCTCAGCCCCGTGTCCTGCAGGCTTGTGAATGTCTCCCCATTGTGGGGTCACCTCAGACGCTTAGGGGCAGGCAGAGGTGGATCTCTGGCTAAAAATCAAAGTGACAAGTGCTCTGTCATTTCTCCAGGCAGTGTCGATTGCCCTAGAGACGTTATTCTGCCCATTTCCATTCCCATCAAGAAACTGGTCGAACCCAACGAATGTAGAGAATAAGGCCACAAGTTCTTTACGTGGTTTTCTGGCCAACACCACGTTGGCTTGTCTGTGGGAATCAAGGTCCCCACAGAGAGAGGAGTGACCCGGAGTGCTAACGCCCTCCCCGTGCTGAGATGGGCTGGGGAGCACACCGTCCCACAGCTACACCCCGCCTGGACCAGCATCAGAGCAGCTGAAGAAAGAGTATGGGAAAGAGAGGGGAGGGTGGGAAGTGGGGTCACCTCCCGCATGCCAGATCCGGGTCAAAGCAGCGGGATCTGGGTTTCCGCACCAGGACCACACACCAGCCCTCCCCTCCTGCTGTAGCTGCTCACTTGCAAGTGCTCGAGCTGGTAAAAACACGAAGAGTGTGGCCTTGGAAGTCTTGCAGCCTCGTTGTTCCCTCCATGGAGGAGGTAAAAAACTGGTTGGCATTGACAGGATCAAACTTCATCCCTGTGATGCTCCCTCCAGCTCCGATCTAACGGGAGGAAGAAAAAAGCCCAGTGGCCCCGGGAAAAGCACACACCTGCAGCCTTCACCCCAGTTCTCAGTTCACTCGGCACAATCCCCCTGAGACCTAGTGAGGGCCCCGTGTGCACTAGAGCTTGATCCTCTCGGCTGCTGAACATTCTGTTGGGTGCATGGACGGTCTGTGTATCCCATATGTCTTTAAAGAAACAATTTTGCAGTCAGCAGAGGGCTTTCAAGCCATCTAAGACTTGAAGACCAAGATCCAAAAGGAAAGATGAGCAGAAAAACAGATCTGGCATTTGGATGCTTCTTTTCCTCTTGAGAATTCACAGATAGAAAGCTGTGGCTTGGAAGTTAAAAAAAAAAAAAAGGCAGAGAAGCTGAGCAGCTGAGCAGAAGTCCTCACAGGACAGGAGAGACAAACACTGAAATTCAGCCTTGCCAGAGAGTCTGGGAAAAGTGAGCTTTTAGTCAAGATCCTGGACACTCTAGAAATAAGAACACACTAGAAATAGACCATCCTTAGCAAAGACTAAAGTCTAGTTTCAGGCATGCCGACCTCTAATCAGATGAAGACAATGTGTTTCCACCCAACTTGCCTGTTATACAATAAAAAATAGACCTAACGTTTACAAGGACAAAGGATTCAAATAACATTTTTCCAAAGAAGATATGCCAATGGCTAGTTCAGCATTATCAATTTGTAGGGAAATGCAGATCAAACCACAATGCGATCCAATTTCATACCCACTAGGATGGCTATAATCAAAAAGACGGACAAAAACAAGTATTAAGGGCCTCCCTGGTGTTGCAGGGGTTAAAGTCTCAGC